GGAGAATGCTTCCAGAACATCATCATACAGACCGAAAAACTCACAGCAACTCACTGACATAGGATTTATTGGAACTCTCTTTACTAAACTGGAAAGGTTGGAGGGTATGTAGTAGTGTCCAGTATGTCAATATTCCTGCATAATGGCTCCTAGGAATCAGAGCCTATAAAGGCCACATTTGGGACTACAACTCCCAGCATCCCCTCACTTGTATGGCTGTAGTATTCTAAATATGCTGCAAAAGAAATCTGAAGCTCTCTGCTTTCACTCATTTCCTCTTGCATTTTTACAAGCACATATACATGATAGTAGCTGCTAAACATCGTGTTTGCGAGGAGAAGGATGAGGACTGGGGGTGGATATGTCTTTCTAAGACAGAGTAGCTGAAAATAAGATTTAAGGGTCTACCAAGCAAAAGCCATATTGATTAGTTCTTTTGAACATTCTGAACACACTGTTGTTGCCTGTAAATAGCAGCTTACCTTGGGTTGGATTGAGAAAGAGGGTTCATTTCTTTTTGATAGTGACACCCTTGGTTGACAGGCTGTAGAAGACACAAGACATCAGAGAGATAATTGTTTATTTCATACTCAGCTAACCCTAACCCTTAAACCATTATTTAATGTAATCAGCAAACACAACCCTTCCAAAATTACTTCAGTATGAAAGAGAGACAAAATCTTAAAATGTACAAAAAACAAGGTGGAAGGGAGATTTTAAGATAGCCCAACATATTTTGGCCACGATAACTTGCATGGCTTTCTTCAAAAGTTAGAAAGTTATAACACATTTATGAGTACATATGTACGCCTTCAAGTTACTGGTTGACTTATGGCAGCCCCATTAATTTTATAAGGCAAGGAATACTCAGAGGTGGTTTTCTCAGTTCCTTCCTCTGAAAATACAGTTTACACTAGTAATTATAACATTAATTAGGGAGACTACAACAAATTCCTTATATGACCTCACTGTAATCATATTCGCCATATTCCTAAGTATATGTGTGTCTGTAAGGCATATCAGCTCTGATCATTTATCTTTTTTTCTGCTTGCATTGCAAATTCTACTATTTTCATACAAAACGGATAATTAATTTCAAGCATGATTAATTTTTATTGTGTATGCATTTATGTATGTATGTATAAAATAAAATTTCGGGAAAGTGTTCTGTGCTTAATTTGGAACAAATGCAATTTTTATATTTTAAGATTTTAAAAAAGTTCCTTTAAATAACTTACTACATCTGATAGCTAAGCAGAGAGCAATATGCAATTCTGAAAATGATTATGTTCCTTTTGGACTGACAGTTTGGAGCAGCTGCTGCTAAACAATAGTTATTACTTTTCGGCTCTTGGTAAACTATCATTAGCTATAAAGTACATTTTTTGTATATTATTTTATCATTGCAGGAGAGCATTTGAATTGCTAGTTGGCTGCAATAAGTCTTTGTAGATGAAAGACCCCCAGTTGTTTAATGTGTCATACATACATACACACACACACACAGAGAAATATCTCGATCCACGAAGAGAAAAGGGAACAACAATAACAACAATTTATAAGCAAGTTGTTGAATATTTTGGAACACCCCACAAGGCCATTTGATATTGTTTTAAAGAGAGAGAGATAAGGAAAGAAATAGAAAATTCTCAAGTTTAGTCCAGAAGAGGTCTGCAGTTAAACTCACCCCCAAAATGGAGACTGCAGACTGAATCAGGTATTATCCTAAATGATGCAACATAGAATCATGTTGTGCATCAAGACTTAAGATGCTAAGTCTACTATTGGGCATGGGTCAAAGTGCAAGGACCCTATTCCCTTTTGTAATTAGGTATACATATAAGCCTGAGAATTATTCCAGAACGTGCAAAGCTTCTAAACTGAAACCCGTAGCAAAGATAACTGATAGATGATCAGCAGCCTTCTGGTGGTGCTGTTGCTACAGACTACACCAAGGGACAAAGAGGTTATGTAAAATTAGCCAATATCTAGAACAAAAAAATGCTTTCTGGTGAGAAGCTATCCAAATTCTATAAGGGAAAATTAATAGAGATTTGATGAGCAAGTAAGACTGGGGGAAAGTATGATTAGTTGGAACAAGACCAGATTTTATCATTTCTCAAAAGAAAAGAATGCACAAAATTCAATTTTTTCCAGGATTATCAAGACAAGGAAAATTTAAAATCAGTCCTTTCATTTTAAAACACAAGTATTAGAACTATATCATTGCAGCAGACAAAAGGAGAAATGATGTCAGGGCACAGCCGCTTTGCTTCACTTGCATAAAAAACATATCATTCTTATGAAGGGTCCAATTTTCATCAGTCCTGGAGCTGTGGGTGGTAAAACAGTTCTGAAAGTTACTGCCAGAGCCAGTGAAAATGTGCCTCATCTAATGGGAAATTCAAGATCCCTGAACATCAGGATGGAAGAGCTTATAATATCAGCATTTAAAAAGGAAATATACCTTACATCTTTACATGTGGTAAGAAATTTTCAGATGAAAGAGCACTTTGAATTCATTCCACCGAGTGCAATCTGATAGGCCACACATTAGTACCCACAATATGTCTAGCCCTTTGTGGTCAAAGTAGACTATTGGAAAATCTTACAATAGTCAGAAATATATGTATTATATTTTCAAGTGTCATGATCTCTTTGCCAGGCATATAATGGCTCACTAGTGTTGAACATCAATATCGAGCCTCTTATCATTTCTCATGCGGCTGATGAATAAGAGGGCACAGATTGTTATTCTTTGAACTGGTAAAAGTTGGGCATCAAGGTTCTCCCTGGGTTTCAGGCTTTGTGAGATGTTTGTCCTGATCCAGCCGAGGAGATCCATATGTTGTCTATTTCAATTCTCGGTTTCACCTCCCCCTCCCATTCAAAGCAGCTTTCTGAACCTTGTTTTTGTTATGTGCTGTCAAGTTGGCCTTGGCTTTTGCCAACCCTATGAATCTGAGACCTTGCTATTAACAACTGTGATCAGTCCTTTCATTTTAAAACACAAGTATTAGAACTGTATCATTGCAGCAGAGAAAAGGAGAACTGTCAGGATACAGCTGCTTTGCTTTGCTTGCATTAAAAATATCATTCTTATGAAGTGTCCAATTTTCCTGTGACTTCATTGACTGGATCAAATGATATCTTTAATTGCCAATGCCCCTTCCCTCAATTATCAATCTCATTCCTTCAAGTCTAATTCTGCATTCTACATAATATATTTTGCATACAAATTCAGTGGGTAGGATGATAAGATGCAGTCTTATCTGACCCCTTACTCATTGAAAACCATTCAGTTTCTCTATATGCTTGCCTGACAGTGACTTTTTGGACAGACATAGGTTGCATATCAGGACTATCATGTTGCATTTTTCAAGGTCAACACAGTAAAAGGCTTTACTGTAATCCATAAAGCATAGGCTACTTCTGAAATTCTGTTGTATGTTCCATTAGACAAAATATATTTGCAATATGATCTCTAGTGTTGCTTTCTTTTCTGTACATAGCATAAGCACTTAGCATTTATCAATCCTTTATATGCTAAAAGACTTTATCATAAAATTTTGGCCATCCTTTTGCTTATACGGGACATCAGGCAATGTTTTCTAAAATCTCTGGTGTCCCCTTATTCCACATTGTCTGGACCATTGTTTTACTTTCTGTATGCTGGCAGATCTTGTTAGAATTTGTATGGTTTCTGTTTTTAAAGCTCGAAATAGTTCTATTCGTATGCCATTTATTCCTTTATTGATATGCCAGCACTGGAGAAATGATGGATTTAATGTACAGGAATGGAAATATGGATGACGAATTTGGATCACGACTCTAGTTATGAGATGCATTGTGTTGTTATTGTTTTGTCAATATTGTATATTGTGCTCTAATGGTTTTAAATTGTATATCGTTGATTGATCTTATCCTTGTTGTAAACCGCGTTGAGTCGCCTGTTAGGCTGAGAAACTGCGGTATACAAGTAAAGTAAATAAATAAATTCTTTGGCTTAATTCTATTTTTTTTCACACCAGCGGTCTATATTCTGTATCTGCACCTGGTTTTATTTTTGCACAGAGACTGAAGTTTCTCCATCTTTTGCTACCATTTACGGAGTCTATTCTGGGGCCAGAATAAAGAAGGGGAGCCGGGAGAACATTGCCATCTTGTCCCCTGTGACATCAGCGCCCCTCCCCTAGCAATAATGTAATATTATGTAGTACTAGTGTTATGAATGATGTAATAGTACTATGCTAGTTATGTATTATGTAGTATGTAGTATGTTGTATGTACTTATGACTTGTAAGCCGCTCTGAGTCCCCTTCGGGGTGAGAAGGGTGGCATATAAATGTCGTAAATAAAAATAAATAAATAAATAAATGCCCAAATATATAGTTATCAATTCAGTTTCCTGAAGAATGTATTTCCAATAAACAAACTGCTGATTTCATAGCATTCAATACATTACTCTCCTGCTTCATTTTTTGACCTTACAACAGATTCTCAGACAATGTGCAATTCTATTCTGTTTCCTACTTTTGCATTCCAACTGTTGGTCGTTATCGATATGTAACATTTTGTTGTGTGATTCAATTGCTCCTGGCTCCCAAAGTGGAAATATGATTTTAAAAACAACAGCAATTCTGAAAATTGCGGTCAAGATCCTAAAATGATTCAGTGAATCACCTAAAATATTCTAAGTTATTTCACAGCATCCTTCTAACAATATAGAACTGTTTAAATATTGTGGCATGACATTTCACTTTCTGTCTTCTTTAGATGGTTGGGTACCGCTCACTTCTATTTTCAGAAGTTGAAACATCTTGTCATAATTTCTAAATGTGTTTATTATCAATCACAATAAAATGAAGCAAAATCGACAGTCTTAATACACTGCTTCCCACGTTAGCTTCATCACTGACTACAGATATTGTTCATTAATAAAGTAGGGCTGGTGGGCTCCATAAAATCTGGCTCTCCAGGAGTACATCCATGGACACTGTCGCAAACAAAACTGTATTAGACATTTGCATTATCTTCATATACTATTGATCTGCAAATGTTCGCAGAAGAGGAATGGCTTAGAATTACAGGGTAGTGTTCTGTCTTGTATCCTACCTTCCTCTACCATTTCTTTCTTTTCCCCAGTATAAGGGTATTGTGGCTAATTCCCCCACATTATTACAATCCTAGACTCCCATATATGCAAAAAATGGGGGGGGGGGGGAAGGGGATGTACTATATTGTTCCCAATCTTCAGCCTTCTGGAAATTTTTGACATCAACTTTCAGAGACTCCAGCCAGCAGGGTCAGTGGTCAGGTGTATGGTGAACTGAAACCCAAAACATCTGGAATCAGTTTCAACCAATTTATCCTTGCTCTCAGCTATCTATTCCTCTCTCTCCTTTCTCTGATGGATCTTTTTTGATTTCTACTCCTTCCAGCAATGGCTAGAACTTTCCAGTTTTTAAAAGTGTTGCTTTGTGATGTGTGTGTGTGTGTGTGTGTGGGGGGGGGGGGAGTTCAGTTTGAGTAAGGGCCCCTTAG